CATGGCACCCTGGGATCCTTTGTGGGGCCATGCAATAGTAGTGTTGTTAGGTGTACAAATATGATTCACAAGATAAACCCAGTGATTTCAAATAAGAATTCATAGTGTTAAAAGCATGCAGACCTCTTGTGATCTTTTTGAGTTCTTTGCAACAGATTAATTGTTCTATTATTTTTCTGTAGTCAAAACTGAGTGAAAACTAAGTGCTGGTATTTTCCAAGGGCCGTTGTTAGTCTAAAAAGGTTCAGAACTATTGGTCTATAGCAGACATTTCTGTAAATAAAATAAACCTGTGGGAATGACACTGGCTATATCTATGTAATAAGCTTACTGTCTCCAGTGGTAGCAGTGCACTGGGAAGTGCTATAGTCTCTGCATGGTGTGAAGTGGGCTAATTACCACTGCTGAGTCATGATGCCAGTTGCCCTGTACACAAGCTAATTAGTCAGGTTACAGTTCTATAGCTTCATTTGGGAGGCAGTCTGTTCTGAGCAGTACAGTGCAATGGGTTTGAAGGCATTGTGGGCAGCCTCCATGATGCAGTGATATAATAAAGCACTGAAGCACATGCTTAACTTCATACATGTGCTTAAGTCTGATTGACTTCTTATGCTTACTATAATGAACTCAATTATAAGTCTGAGAGCTTTGCAGAATTGGGGGTGTCTTGTAGTATTTCCTTGATTGTCAGTGAAAGTGAAAAAGTTAAGCCTTAATGGTCCATTTTTGTTCAAGTAGAAGCAACATTCCCACTGATGCAAGTATAATCAAATATGATAAGATTAAATGAAGAGGAAAGAATTAGAAAACAATGTGTAATTGTCTATTTTTGTGAAAACCAAACTAGGTAAAATAATTAATATTTTGACTTCTATTGCACTTCTTTGGAGGTGAAATCTATATTGATATTTTTTAAACACATTTTTTTTGCTTGTAATTGATAGGAGCTGGATTTTACATAAACTGCTTTAAAATGCATTGAAATTATTAGAATTCTCTTTTAAAAGATACAAATTTTATAAATATTGTCATAAATGTGAAGAATATATATTAACTGTACAATAGAAACTTTTTCTTAGGAAGACGAACAAAGCTTTAGAATAATGTTTGTGTACAAAAATGACTGCCATAATCTACTTTCAGTAGCAAATTGATTGTCTATTTAAACTGCTTCTTACAGATGATAATGAGACTGATATTCAAACAGTTGTTTCAGAACCAAGTTGTCATGAAAAGATTTGTAAACAACAGAAAGCTGGAACATCACATAGTAAAACTGTCAGGGCAAAGATGTACTCTTATGATAGAACAGGTATGTAAATCTTAGAAATAGAAGCAAATTATGCTCTTGTTATGCCACAAAAACCAGTAGAATTATTCCAGGTTTACATTGATACAATAGAGCAGAATTTGCCCATCTGTTTTTTATGGGATCAGCAATGCACATTTGATTTAAAAAACTCCTGTGTTTCAGTTCAAGAAAGATGGTATTTTAAGATTTTTTTTTCAGTGACTTGTAACTTTTGCCTCCAAATTCCCTTTCACCTTTCTTTTGGAAATTTTCCATTCTTGGTTTCAGGCCATAAGTTAATTTACTTAGAATTAAAAATATGTAGGTAATTTTCATATATTAAAAAAATTAAACCTGCCAGGTTTATTTAAAAAAATTAAACCTGCTAGGCTCTTATATTGGCTTTTAGAGTTCTGATCGTTCAAAAAGTAGCTGATTTAAGATTTCGGAGGTGCCATATAAATAACCTCCATGAGGAGATTAGCACAGTTTGCCAATGTTGAAATAGGATGGTTGGGAAATCAGAAACTAGAGCCCAATTTTGTACTTCTTGTACTCCAAAAATGAAGGTCAGATTGGTGTGTTCAAAGAATGCAGGATCTTGCCCATATAGTGAGAGAAGCTAGTGCACAATACCTGTGTTTTATGGTATTTCCCTTGGGAAATTAATTTGGATAGCTCCAGGTTCAAAACACTGTATTTTTTACTATTTTTGCCTTATTTGTTGAATGTTTTAAAACTTAATGTAGCAAATTAAAGTATATTCTAATACAGTTTAACCTCATAAATCCAGCATCCTTGGGACCTAGCATCTGCCAGAAATTTGGAAATTCTGGATTTTTGAAACATAAAAAAGCTTTCCCCTCTGGATGTGGAGGGGGAAGCTTGCATGCAGTGTCTGCTGCCGCCATCCACCACCCCATGTGGCTGCTCCCTGTATGGCCGCTGCTCTTCGACCACCCACCACTACCCCTACCCCCTGGATGTGGAGGGGGAGCTTGCAAGCTTGCACATAGCAGCTTCCGCTGCCATCTGCCATCCCTGTTCCGCATGCAGCTGCTGCACAGGACCGGCTAATGTAGTGTATTTTTAAAAAGTGCTAGATTTTTGAGTATTTTGAAATGTTGAGTACCAGATTTATGAGGTTATACTGTAACTGTACTTGTTTTTGCTTTGTCTTAAACTGATAAAATAGTGCTGCCCCCCTCCTTGAGCATATTAGTAAAGCTTCTAGTTTCTCTTAAACTGGATAAAAATGCATGCTGTGTTCTATGTTCTGATGCGCTGCCCCATCTTCACACCCTTCTTCAAAATCCTAGATCTCCCTCTGTGTGTAGATATATTTACTTGAGTAGTAGCAACTAATGGATTGATCACTGGAAGTTCTGAGTCCCCTTACTGAAGTCATCTGTGCTTTGATCTGGTGCTGCTGTCAAGAAATCCACGGTGCATCTAAGGACTGGGATTGTGCAAAATGATTTTTAAGACAACTTCTCTATTTCTCTTATTTTGATATTGGCGATAAATCAGAGCTACCAGAAGATGGGGCAGGCATTCCAAGCAAGAGGGTTGTTTATTTTGCATATCCAAATTGGATCTGAAAATCAGTTCCAGGGTTTCAAGTGGGAAATTAAGTGCAAAGTAGAGGTTTTTTGTCCACTGCTTTAGGAGTGTTTCCACACCCATGTAAAGTGGGTATTATCCCCAGTACAAAAACAGAGGTCACACAAGAGAAGAACCCAAATATTTTTACTCTGAATTCCATTTAACTATATTGAGCATGAAAAGGGCATTCTGACCAGAGGTATTTTTGCCATTCAAAGCAAGAAATATTTGCACAGAAATGCATTGCCAGGTCTGTTTAATTGTTTAATTATTACAGAACATTGCGTGCATACTGATAAAACTGTAATGCATACGAAATAAAATACTAATCATTGTACAATAATAGCTGTCAAAACAGTTTTGTATGTACTTAATTAAAAAATTCAAGGAATACAAGAAAGGGCTTTAGTGGAGTTCACTCTTAAGCTAATATCTGATCATAAATATATAATATACTTAAAGGATAATAATTTCTCTGTATTTATTCATTGGGGAATTTGATTGATTCATCAAAAGAAAAAATGCTGATACTCTAAATACAATAATATATTTAAGGAAAGCATCAGATACTCATTATTTATTTAAAAAGGTATAGCTTGAGAAAAATGGTTCAAGGAAGTGTGTGTGTATGTGTGAGTGTGCATTAAATTAATAAATAAGTCAAGCTGTTCCTTCTGCAGTTTCCTTGCATATATTAAAAGGAAAAATAGGACCCCCCTGTGGGTGGAATTGGTCTGTGGGCTGGGTCCAGTGTGGGGTCAACATGAGGGATTGATCCAGTGCACTGGCCTAGCTGTTGCTGGCTTGACTCTGCATGCCAAATCTGCCGATCTGCTGACCCCATATGCTTGTGTGATGGGCCATGTCATTTGGCCTGTGAGGCTCCCTCCATGTCTGGAAACTTGGCACTGGGGGACTAGTAACAGAATTAATTGCTTTGGCTTCCAGAGCTGCTTCCAGAACCACTTCCAGAGCTGCTGGAATTAACATTTTCCACTGCTCCCCACCACCAAATTTCTAGGACCAGTGGTGAGCCCTGTGGGCAGGATGACATGGCTCCATGTGCTGGAGGTTGAACAATCACTGGACTAGTTTTCTAGGACTGGACTGACATTTTCTGAAGATGGATATGGAGACAAAGGTTGACCTTTCTGAAGCTTTTTAAACCTTGCACAGGTTATAACTGTTAGCTTGTTTTCATTGCTGTAGTAGCAATATCTGAATAGCTTCAGAGCAATAAGCATAGGCTTGTCCTACCATCAGTGTTCAGCAACAGTCTCCATAGGAGAAAGGGTACAGAACTGTCTAGTTCCTGTTGCAGTTCTGGTGAATGAGTAAAAGGTTGATCTGTTACTCACCTGGTTTTCCAGAAGACATTACCTATAGTTCCATCATGGCGTACACCACAAAACACACTAACCTATGTTGCTACACCTCACATTAGTGTAGAGTAGTGAATGCTTTTGGCTTTATCTAACTCAGAATTATCCTTCAGTTTTTGTTGTATGTTAGCAGTTCATGATTCCTACAAGATATTATGAAGCTGTGCTTTAACTAGTCCTGCGTTTGTGTGTTTCTAATGGTAATCTTATTGTATGTGAAATTAACGAGCAAAAATATAATAGAGGTAATTATTTTTGTGGGTAATATCTTTTAGTGGACAGGCTGCAACGTTGGGAGAGAGTTAGACAAGCATTCAGGTACAAGGCACCCTTTCATCATAGTTCTTTGAAAGGAAGGATGCCTTATACTTGAGAGCTTGTCTAAATCTCTCCCAACCCTACAGGTGGTCCAATAAAAAACATTGCTCACAAAAATCCTTGCATCTTGCATATGTCCTGGTTCATCATGTCTACAACATCACTCCAATGCTATCAGAAATTATAGGAGATAACTGAATCACCTTTACACCAGGATTACTAATACTTTTAATTAATTATATAGACTCTTTAACCTATCAATTGTTATAATGAAAGTTTAGATTAATTTATAGGTATTTTCAGTGAGGTTCTTCCTGGGTTTTTTCTTTAACTGTACTTTATCTTAACAAATATTGAATGTATCTTTTAAAGCAGGTTAAAACATTCCTTTAAAAATGTCTTGATTCCCCTCTACCCCACCCCAATATGCACCAGAACCAGTTGATGATGATGTGATAAAGCATATTTTGTGGCTGAGAAGCAAACTTGGCTGGCAGACAGAATTATTGCCACGTCGATTTTCATCTAAAGCGGCTAAGATGACTAAAATTCAGAAGCTTGCACTTGGGGTAATTCTTTTTTTCTTTTTTTTTAAGTTGAACTTTGCACTGTGAAAGTGACATGTGACTAAAAGTTTGCTCTTGTTTAGCTGTCTACACGTGCCATACAGCGCAGTAAATAACTGTGAGTAAATTTGCTACTTGTATTTACAGGTAGCAAATTTACTTTTGATTAGAGCAAATTACTGCAGAGTAAGCATTTACACATTCTGAGCCTCTCTGCAGATTTCCATCCTCTCTGCAGCAAGGGTAGGCACAGAAGTGGCAGAACAGCAGGCTCCATGGGAGAGGAGAGTGCTATGCAGGGAATAGATAGCATGATGCAGCTCTGTGCTACTGAGCCCCTGTGCTGGACCTCAGACCTCTTTGTGGGCCAGATCTAGCCTGCAGACCATAGAGTACCAACCCCAACCTTTAATTCTTTATAATAAACAACTTAATACTAGAGATATTTAGAATCTAAATAACACCTGTGACATTCTTCTGTTCTTCAGCTTCAGTGAAGTTAATATGGATTGTTACCGTTATTTTACAGATGAGGACATTGAGGCACTGAAAAATTAGTCACTTTATCAACATTCTCAAGAAATTGCAGTTGGAAATAGAATTAGGAACAGGTTAGGAATTACAGTTAGGAACAGGTTTCCTGACTGGCAGTCACTGGGTACATGTACATGTACATTTGCTCTGAGGTGGGTTTACTCTACAATAAATTACTCTAAAGTAAACCCACCCCAGGCAGGTGTCTACATATGTAGGGATGTGGGAGCAGATCTGCAGCTTTGGCAGCAGTCTGCTCCCAACCTCTCTGGTCCTGTACTGGCCCCGTGCAGTGGGCAGGGAGTGCTCTAGGTTCCCCCTGGGTGCTAGGTTAAGGGCTGGCAGGGAGCATGGGGCCAGGAGACAGCTGTCTCCTGGCAGGGCCTGGGAGATTTCTCCCTGCCCCCAGGGGATTGCCTGCTGCTGGGGTGGGCTCCACCACTGGAGTCCAGGTGGGGACAAGTCCCCCTGCCCTGGCAGCAGGGAGCTCCTGGCCCTGGCTCCTTGATCCAGGGGACTTTGCTCCCAGATGCAGGGGACTTTGAAAGAGCTGCAGGGGAGGGGTAGGTCTCAGCCCCCTGCCCTAATCCACTGGTGGGAGAGCTAGCTGTGACACCCCACCCCCCAGGGGCCCAGCTGGGGGCTCAATGCTAGCTGCACTGGCAGATCATGACAGGGGCCTGAGACCTATCCCTTCCCTGCAACTCTTTCCAAGCCCTGCAGCTCAATCACCCGATCAGGGCATGGGGCTGGGACCTGCCCCTGACCTGGACAGCTTCCAGCCCCTGTTCCATGATTTCGGAGCAGGAGCTAGGGAGTTGTTTCCAGCCCCTACTCCGTGATCCTGGGGTGGGGGCTGGGTAGTCTGTTCCCAGCCCCTGCTTTGCAATTACAGAGCTGTGGCTGGGAACAATCTCCTCAGCCCCTGCTCCACAATTGAGCGGGGGCTGGGAGCTCCCTGCTGCTGGGGCATGGGGACATTGTCTCCTCCTGGGCTCCAGTGTCCTGGCAGCAGGCAGCTCTGGGGGACAGGTCTTCCACCCCCTGCTGCCTGGCTGACTGGGAGCAAGTTTGCTCCCGATTGGTTGTCTACACGTGCCATACAGTGTAGTAAGTAATTGTGAGTAACTTTGCTACTTGTATTGACAGGTAGCAAGTTTGCTGTTGATTAGAGCAAATTACTGTGCAGTAAGCATCTACATGGGTAGACAGTGATGCTTACTGCGCAGTAATTTGCTCTAATCTTGAGTAAAATGTTTCATGTAGATACGCCCACTGTGTCCTAACTTCAAGACCATTTCCTCATTAAGGAAGACAGTTTTTATATTTAAAACCTTTCCTTTGGTGAAGTAGAAAAATGACTGTTTGGACTGAGCTTATGAGAAGATTTTCATGGTAGAAGATCAGGTAAATTTAATCTTCTAAGTAATCCTGATATTATTGTTCACCAGTTTGTTTATTAGAACAGCTTGGTACTTGTATTTATTTTATCTCTTTTATTTTTATGGCAAGGTATATAATTAATATATATGATATTTTGAAAAATGATTTAGGATATGAATTATACTGTAACATAATTATGTATTTTCTCTATTGTCAGAGACCTTTATTGCTGAAAGATTCTGGAGAATATGTATATTGTCTCCGCAGAGGAAGGGATAACCCTGAAGCTCCTTATAATCCGTATGATCTACAGGTTGTTTCCGCAAACACAGCTAGGCATTCTAAAGAATACTGGACTGTTACAGCTTCATTTGTTTCCAAGGTAACAGATCTTTCAGCAGCAACATTTAGTGGTAATTGTAACTCAGATCTTCTGAAAGTTTTTCATTGCATGGACCATAGATTTTCACTGAAGTACCACCTTGCCTTCCATTTATGATCCCATCATATCCCTTTTACAATTACAGTTGTATATGTGAAAGCAGAAAGACTATTTATCTAACTTGCACAAATGCTATACAATCTATCTGATGCTGGGACTAGACATATAAAGTGATGAGACTCCTACTGGCTTTGACCTAATAAAGCTGGGTCTTTTTTGCTGTGGAAGTAGCCTTGTTTTTTTGGATCCAGAGCCCTGGGCCTCTAGTGCAGTAGATATAACAGAAGACAAATTAACTTAGATCCTTCTGTTAACTTCTGTTAACCAGGGCAGGCTTAGAAACAAGGAGGGTGGCACGGGCACCTACAGGAGGCCTCAAATGCCTCCACAAATGCTCGAAGCACGGGGAAAAAGCAAGAGGAACTCACCTTTCTGCTAGCTAGCAAAAACCCAGACCTAGTGGGGCTCATGGAAACCTGGTGGGATTCTATCCATGGCTGGGCAGTGGACATCAAGGGATACAGGCTGTACAGGCGAGACAGAGCAGGAAAAAGATGGGGGTGTAGTGCTATACGTCAAAAAGCAATACACGTCCTCAGTGATCAGAATGGAGTCAGAGGAGGGGCATAATGAGGCGCTTTGGGTAAGAATGCAAGGGGGGTGTGGGGAAAGGGACTTGATAGTGGATGTCTACTACACATTGCCTCACCAGGGGGACGAGCTGGACCTGGAATTCTCAGGTCAGCTCATGGAGGCTGTAAAGTCAAGGGATGTGGTTGTCATGGGTGACCTAAACTACCCAGACATCTCTGGGAGGAGTATGTCCAACCGCTCACGTAGGTTCCTAGCCAGGATACAGGACCTCCACCTAACCCAGGAGGTGCCTAGTCCCACCAGGGGAAATGTCTTGCTGGATTTGGTCCTTGCCACAGGCAACAACCTGGTGAGGGGTCTGCAGGTATTCGACCACCTGCGTGACAGTGATCGTTGCCTGCTGGAATTTACTATCCAGCGCAGGGTGGTGAAAGCAAGTAGCAAGGCAGAGGTCCTTGACTTCAGGAGGACTGACTTCTGTAAGCTAAGAAGGTCAGTAGGAGTGGCATTGGGGTCTCGGAGCTTCAATGAGATGGGAGTCCAAGACGGGTGATTGTTCCTCAAGGAGACAATCCTTTGAGCTCAAAGGGAGTCAGTCCCAATGCGCACCAAGGGGGGCAGGAGTGCTAAGGAGCCCCCATGGCTCAGCAAAGGCATCCAGGTATACCTGAGGGCAAAAAAAGGAGGTACAAGCAGTGGAAGCAAAGGGCTGTCATGAAGGAGGATTATACCTCCATTGCTCAGGTCTGCAGGGAGGCTGTTAGGAAGGCCTAGGCAGAGATGGAACTAGGGCTAGCGACCAGAATTAAAGATAATAAAAAGTCCTTTTTCAAATGCATATGAAGTAAGAAGGCGGCACTGGGTAATGTGGGGCCCCTGCAGGATAGGCTTGGCAATCTGGTGATTGCAGCAAACAGAAAAGCTGACCTCTTTAACAAATTCTTCGCCTTCGTATTCCTGAACAGGGACCAGGACATCTCCCCCACTACAATTGTGGACAGACCCAGGGGAGGCACTGCCATGCCTAGGGTCAGGGACGACCTAGATAGGGAATTTTTGGAGGGGCTGGATGTGTTTAAATCAGTAGGTCCGGATGGTCTTCACCTGAGGGTGCTGAGGGAATTGGCGGGGGTCATAGTGGACCCTGCCAGTTCCCTGGCACGGCTCTATGAACACTTGTGTGGCACTGGCCAGGTACCAGAGGATTAGAAAGGACCAGTGTGGTCCCCATTTACAAGAAGGGAAGAAAGGAGGACCCCAGCAATTATAGGCCAGTCAGCCTTACCTTGGTCCTTGGGAAGACCTTTGAGAAAATTATTAAGGAACACATCTGCAAGGGCCCATCAGGGGTGGTAATGCTCAGGGGCAACCAACATGGGTTCACTGAGGGCAGGTCCTGCCTGACTAACCTGGTTTCTTTTTATGATCAGGTCACAAAGTCCCGGGACGAGGGTGTCAGAGTGGATGTCATCTTCCTGGACTTGAAGAAGGCCTTTGACACGGTTTCCAACCACATTCTCTTTAAAAAAAAAAACAAAACTAGGTGACTGTGGCATTGATGCCTACACAGTCAGATGGGTGACAAATTGACTAGATGGTTGCACCCAGAAAGTAGTGGTGGATGGGTCATTTTTGACCTGGAGAGATGTGGGCAGTGAAGTCCCCCAGGGCTCAGTCCTGGGGCCTGTACTATTCAACATTTTTATCAGCGATCTGGATGTGGATGTGGAATGCACGCTGTCCAAATTCACTGACATCACTAAGATGTGGAGTGAGGTGGACACACTGGAGGGGAGGGACAGAATCCAGCTAGATCTAGACAGGTTACAGAGGTGGGCCGATGAGAATAGGATAGAATTCATTGCAGACAAGAGCAAGGTACTGCATCTGTACAACCCATAGCCCCCAAAATGTACCGCCTAGTCATGGGTAGGTTTCCATTAGCTCCACGAAATCAAAGTTACTGTTTGCAAGCAGGAGTGTGAGTTCTTCCTGCTTGTTTCCCATGCTCCTAGCATTAATATAGAGGCACTTAAGACCTCTGAATGGTGCCTTTGGTGCCCACCCCCCAACTCTGATGCCTAAAGGCCCCCTGGTACTTATCTGGGCTGTACTGCTGCATGTCTCACAATTTGTGGATTTCAGATTATTAAGCAGATTTTTTTATTAGAGCAAGAGGCTAATGAAATGGTAAGTTGCCAGCTTACATAGTGTTTTTACAACATGAACTGCAATAGTAAAACCTGCATATTGTCTCAGAAATGCTTCTTCAGTTACTGTTATAGAAGAGCCATATTATTTCTTCTCATTTAATTTTTTCTAGTTTATTGCAAGAGATAGAGCAGAAGAAACAGAAATGATACCTGTAGCAGAATGGCTCTGTGAAAGACAGATTTATTATATGTTACACAGTTTTAATATATTTTCCAATGCCCGGTAAGAGAGAAAAATATTATTTTAAAATTAATGTGTTAAAATTGAGTAATTTGCTAATACAGGCAGTCCTCAGACTTATGACACAATTGGTTCCTGAAAACTGCATCTTAAGTCGAAATGTTGTAACTCGGAACCAATTTTCCCATAGGGTACAATGTTATAAATGGGGGATTGGTTCCTGAACCAAAGCCCAATACCCTATTTTCACCAAAAATGACCCAGAATTTTGTACTCAATTGTCCCAGGGGCATAGGACCAGATAAGGGGGAAGCCTCATTCAGAGGCAAACCCCAGACCAAAGTAAAAGAAGAAAACATACCTATTGCAAGGGTCTGGAGGAGCTAGGAAGCGTGCAGTGGAAAACCACCTGCACGGTTTATCAGCCGTGCCCATCTACATCTGGGGCCGGGTGACATCATGGAGAGATGCCACCCGGTAAAGATAAAAATCAGCCCTGGAAGTGCGGAAGGGAGGACACCGAGGACCGGAGGAGTGGCGGGAAACTGTGGGGTGGAGAGCATCCAGCCGCTGCGATTGGTAGCAATGGTGGCGGCAGCTGGAGCTGTAGGAGATCCCTGAGCCGGGGAAGACCGGCAGGGATCAAAGGAGCCAGCAGGGAGACTGGCAGTGGCGGCAGCTGGAGCTGCAGGAGATCCCCGAGCCGGGGAGGGCTGGCAGGGATCAAAGGAGCTGGCAGGAAGGCTGGCAGAGTCTGCGGCAGCAGGAGCTGCGAGAGATCCACGTGCCGGAGAAGACCGGCAGGGAATCAGAGGAACCACCAGAGAAGTCAGCAGCAGCTACAGCAAAAGCCAGCGTGGGAGCTCCCATCAAAGGCAACGGGCGCCGCTGCTCCCGGGTGGAGGTGGATTCTGGAGGGAAGGGGAAAGGGACTCTGGCTGGGGTGAAGGTATGGACCCCGACCCAGAGGGTGTGCTAGCCTAGGGGCATTAGGGGCTAGGGGAGCATGGGACAGTCCCCGTGGGTGCTTCTCTTCCTTTTCTTCTTCCTTTTATCATGCTTCCCTGGTAGTCACGTTGTTAGTTTCAGTAACTTGTTTGACGCTGGGTCATTTCGGGGAAAAGGGTTTATGGTGAGGGTATCGATTGTGTTCCCCTTTTAGGGATTATCTATTTCAGTTCCCTGGCAAGAGCAGATTAGCAGAGCTCTTAGCACCAGGCTAGGGGAGTCAGGACTTCATCCAAGGGTGAGAAAGGAACCACATGAAGACGCAGTGAGGGCCAACAGCATCAGACATAGAATGCTCAGGGTGTCGAAGAGGACAAGCCGGAAGGCCAAGAGTCACCAGACCCTCTGGGTTTGGCCAAGGCCCAGGTTGCTCATCTGCAAGAGGGGACGTGGCAACTGGGGAAGACATCATTAGGGGTAGCCGCAAAAGATTCGCAGGCTCGTCTCAAAGGGTGGCGCATGGCTAGGGTATAGGGGAGGTTGGAGCCCCGTGAACATCCGCTGGGATGCATGACAGCTCTGGAGGCATCCTCAAAGGGGACCCCCTTCACTGAAGGACCATTCAAAGTCATGGCAGGCGAGTTTGGGGGTCACCTTGAAAGTAGCCGAGGAACCCTCTGGGGGCTACATGAAGGTCTCTGGCGAGCAAGGTCAGTGGCTCGGGCAAAGGCGGTACGAGAACAAACAATCGAGAGGAGACGGGCACATCAATCAATTATAGATGAGTAATAAAGCTACATAATTTATATTGTAAATAGCAATCATTTATTTGGAAGAATTTCTTTGAGGTGAATTTGCTGGACTTTTTGAAGGGCTCTTGGGTGGAGTCTTCCCAGGAATCTTGACTGCGGGGTTTTCTGGAGTCTTGTCTGCTTTCTTAAAGGAAGTGTCGAAGGAAGTTTGGACAGATGGTCTCCAGGGAGATGGTTGCTGCAGCAAACTTGTTCACTGATGTAGCATCGTGTTGGATCAAGCATTGTAAAGTTGAAACTGATGTCAAAGTCAAAGCAGGGTGTCTATTTATAAACGTTGTAAGTGCTGTTTGTTGTAACTCAAAACGTTGTAAGTTGAGGACTGCCTGTACCTTCATGATGCAACATGCCTACCAGTTTTCCAATAATTTTTTATTTCACAAAGTAGTATTTTACTACTTTAAATAGTTGTCCACACACACATTTTGATATATGCTCAGCCCCTGAGCCTTCGATGGAGACTTTTTTTTAGCTTAGCAGTACCTCTTTGTGAGTGCCCCATGCCTCATCCTTGACTCTCTCCTCCCGTCACACTGAGGGGACAAAACTTCTTTGCTCAGTTATATTAGCTCCTCATCAACTAGTTTTTGTGGCCTATGTGATTGACCCATATTTACCTTTTTCAGCTTGTTCGTTTTGTTTTTTCAATCATTTTCTTAATATTTGTTCTTTTATTTCTCTTTTTGTTTCTCTTCGTGCTTTGGAAGGCTCTGGCCTCATTCCCCCATTTTCCTTTGTGACTAGGTAATGTGAAACCACCATTTTTTGTAGCCTGTTGCCTTTATGCAGAACTTTGTTGTTCTCATTTTGAGCTTCTGTTTTGCAACTTTTGCCTCTCATTGCTGCTGTGATTCCTTCACTTAACTTACTGGAATTTCAAAGCTATTTCCCACGAAGTCTTCAGTGAGTCCCACATGCTGAAAAAGTGCAACATTTCTTGATCCTTCAAGCCCCCAACAAGAAAAGTATGTGAGATAAAACTGCATATTCTTTCTTGACAAATCATTCAGACTGTCCTTCAACCTTGGCACCAAGTCTTTGAGATAGCATTGTCCCATTCCTTGATACCATGTCACCTCAACACCTGGTTTCACAGGACAGTCCCCAGCCACCTCCAGGCTGCATGTGCGGACTTCTCTGCACAGCCTGGGGCTGTCCAGGAACTGTCCCAGTTGAGTAGGCCCCAGCCAGCTCCAGGCTGGGTGGGGAACTCTTCCTTTGCAGGGAGCTCCTGGCCCCTGCTCTGCGATTGTGGAGTGGGGATGAGGAACAGGCTGGGAGCTTGTTCCCAGCCCCAGTTTCAGCCACTGCTCCACAATAGCAGAGTGGGGGCTGGGAGCTCCCTGGTGCCAGAGCTGGGGGGCATTGTCTTCACCGGGGCTCCAGTGGCAGAGCCTGCCCTGACAGTGGGCAGCACCTGAGGACAGGAAGTAATCTCCTGCCCCCTGTCATTTAGTTGACCAAGAGCAATTTTCTCCCAGTCGGCCATCTGCACATGCACTGTTGCTCAGTAATTACTCAGCAGTTAATTTGCTGCTTGCATTTGCAGATAGCAAATTAACTGCTGAGTAGAAGAAATTACTGTGCAGTAAGGGTCAGCACGTGTACATGGTGACATTTACTGCACAGTAATTAGCTCTACTGCACAGTAAAATGTCTCTTGTAGATGTGTCCTTGTTTCCTAACTCTGTTTCTCAAAGTTTGGAAGTCAGGTCTTTATCCTTAAGAGGGTATGCAGAGAAGCCAGAGAGGTTTCATGGCAGAGACAGGATTAATCAGGTTTGCTTGGTATCCTTCCTAGTTCCAGCACGGGCAAGATTTAATGAACTGTCAGGACTACAGAAAGTGACAATATGTTAAAAAGTTAAAGCCCATTCTATAAAAAAACCTGTATAAGAAGAATAAGAAACTGGGGTTATAGATTTACTATACATAAGTAATTGTTTTCCTTGCTTCTAGCATGAAAAAGTATTTTTTCACCTGGAAAAGTATTGTTAGAAGAGTTAAGATGAACAGGAGCAAGTAAGTCTTAATAAAAACTGTTTCTGTGGAAAAACTGAAAAGGAAACAGAAAAATGTAAATTAACCTCTTAGTACTGTGCAGTGAACAATTACAAAAACATTTCAGTATCTTTATTGGATTGATATCTGTATGGCAAAAAATGCTGTAATGAAAGTTTTTGTTACTTGTAAAGTAAAATATCAGTACTTTATTATGTGTCTGTTTAGAACTCATCATACACCAAGAGTATTTGGATTCTTTGCAAATGGAGTGTAGAGAGACTAAGAGGATGGAATTAGCACCCATGAACAATTTATTTCTGTCCTCATAGTTAAGCAGTCAAATTTGATCTTGGATAACTTGAAAGCAGCATATTTTCAAACTTGTTCTCCAAATCTATAGTAATATTTGTTTTTACTTCCTTATATAAAGTTGCTCACGTGGAAGTGTTTGCAGGATCTTGTTTTAAGACAGGCGAGGTAAAGTCATTTTTGGATAGGAAGTCTTTAGAGAACTCTAGAGCAGTGATTCTCAACTAGGTGTGGTACAGTGCCATGCAGTATTAACACTGTTAAATGTGCAGTCATGTATACATGATTCAAAAGACAGAATCAGAGATTTCAAATAGGAATCCATAGTGTCAAAAATATTCTGACCTATTGTGGTCTTTCTAAGTTCTTTATAACAGAAGGAATACTTTATTATTTTAGCTTTTAAAATGGGATGCCTCTAAATTCAGAAAAGTTATGGAGGGGTACCTTTAGTCTGAAAAGGTTGAGAATCAGTTTTCTAGAAGTTACACTTTTGGCATTTAGTGGCCAGGGTTAATTATTCAGTAAGTGATACTCTTCCCTCCCAGTTAAAATAATTTGAGATCATCCTAGAGTATCGTAACTGTGGCTGAGGTTTATATTATGTTCAATTATATTCTGTTTATTTATGACTATATATATTAAGCTTTCCATGGTTTTAAGCCCTGAAAGGAAAGAAGGGCAGGGGACAGATCAGGCCCCTCTGTATCAGAGCCCTTTGTATATGCTCTTTCCTTTAGCATCCATTCTGTGCTACTCTGACATACAGGATACTAAGCCAAATGGACCTATTATCCAGGTCCATTCTATGACACTTTTTTTGTTTTTATCGAAAGTTTGCTAATGTCAATGAACGTCTTTCCACTGATTTTAATGCATTTTGGATCTGATCTTTAGTATTTTATAAGGATATTTGGTTTAAAAATAAAATTGAATTAATAATATAAAGAGAACCATATGATCACAAAGAAAAATAAATGTTTGATTTAGTAACATCTGAGAACTAGGCTGAAGATGCAAAAGACAATACCACAGAGTTCTGATTCATTATATCCCTGATTTTTAAACATTTGATATTTCATAAATGTATGAATAAGTCAGTGTCTCAAAATGAAAAGTATTTGTATGCATTTTACACCTGTGATGTTTCTCTTATTTGTAGAACAATGATGTACAAACAACTATTTTTTGCTGATGAAGTATTTTTACAATGCTTACTTTATATTAGAGGACTCTGTGAAAATACAAGTAACATTAATAGCTACAGAGGGTCAAAAAATAATGTAATTTATTTGATAAAGGTGAGCAAACTAACACTTTTAGCTATATGGATATAAATTGTATCACATGTCCTGTTTTATTAAAAATTAAAAGTGATCTGATTTAATAAGATGTGTTAAGCTAGTCTTGAATTTTGGAAGTCAGTAGGAAGGCTGCTTTAGTTATAGCTAATTTGAGCATAAGACTGGTTACAGAGTTTCTGTTTCCCGAAAAATAAGGGAACGGGTATTGGATGTCTGGGTTCCAAATGATAAGTAACAGTTTAGAAGTACTAATTTAGGAACCTGTTCCATGCATTAAGTATGAAAATAGTTGTATAATGTGTCACCAACACTGCTGTATGTAATGGGATATTATGACATGAAATTATATATATTTAGTAGGACTGATTGTAAAAATTTGGAGGCAGGGACTGTTTTACTGGTGTTCTTGGGCAAGTGATTTTTTCCATATCCATGCATTTTGTTACTTTATCTGTAAAATAGAAATAATAATACTAAATGCCTTTGTAAAGTACTTGAGATTATAGATGAAAAATATTGTTTAAGAGGCGTGGGCCAGATCCAGACATGAAGGCACATATGGTTTGGAGTGCTGCAAACCGCTTTGTGGCACCACAGACCACACGTTGCACATTAAACCGTGTGCAGTGCTACTAATTTGCAGTGCCGAGGCGAAATTTGCTACCAGGTTTTTTTGATCAGAGGTCAGGAAAACAGACCTTACAATGAGAGGCTGAGAGCCATGGGGCTCTTTAGCCTGGAAAAGCGCAGGCTCAGGGGTGATCTGATGGCCACCTATAAATTTATCAGGGGTGACCACCAGGATCTGGGGGAACGTTTGTTCACCAGAGCGCCCCAAGAGATGACGAGGTTGAACGGTCATAAACTACTACAAGACTGTTTCAGGCTGGACATAATGAAGAATTTCTTTACTGTCCAAGCCCCCAAGGTCTGGAACAGCCTGCCATCGGAAGTGGTTCAAGCACCTACATTGAACACCTTCAAGAGCAAATTGGATGCTTGTCTTGCTGGGATCCTATGACCCCAACTGACTTCCTGCCCTTCGGGTGGGGGGCTGGACTTGATGATCTTCCAAGGTCCCTTCCAGCCCTAATGTCTATGAAATCTATGAAGACAGGGGAGCAGGAAGCCATGGGCTGACTGCTCCCCTGTCTCCGTGTGCCTTAGTGCAGGGGCTCTGCTGTAGAACCTATGTGCTGAGGAATGCGGAGTCCCCGTGCTGAGGTACACTACACCCCAGCCAGCTACGAAGCAGCTGGCTGAGGCACAGCATGCCCAGGGCTGCCTGCTCCCCTATGTCTATGTGCTGCTGTACCCCAGCCAGCCCCCCTCTTCTGCAGCATGTGGAGTAGTGGGACAATGTGTCCTGCTGCAAAGCGCCTGAGCAGAGGCATACACTGTAGCACAAAGTAGTGGCACAGATTTGTGCTATTTGTGCAGCTGCAAACACGCCCCTACTCTTGTGGACACACCCTTACCTTGGTGTTTGTTGTATAGTAAGGCTTGGAGCCCATAATTGTGAGCAGTAAAGGGAATCATTTAAATCATGCAAATGACATGCACCAGTTACCAATTCTGTTGACCTAAGTATTCTGGCTAATTGGTACAGCAGTAACGGGGCTGAACTGTTTGTACCTCTAAGCTCCTTTCTTTGTCACTTAATGGGATTCTCTTAGGGTGCAGACAGAAGTGGCATTTTTTTGTGTGATCTGGCCCCTGAAAGCACTCTACAGTCATGACCTAACACATATGCATGGCTCCAGAGTGCTTTTAAAATAGCCCATTGTGTGAAAAATTAATCCTCATCAAATCAGGTATTAGATTAAGGTTCTATGCTTTAGAGTGCTTTAGGAAACTTGTGTTCCCTCAAGGGTTAATTTTTCACACAGGGTCAGGACTGTCACCTAGGAGGGAGGGGGAAGTGAGCAGCATGGAGTTGCTGGCTTGCCTGGCCTGAGCTGAGAGTGGTAGGGGTGTGGCTGGAACAGAGCCGTCTTTCCTTGTGGGACCTCCCCCCCCGCAGCTTCTGCGCAAGGTGAGGGGATTCTATTTCACCACCCTCCCTCCCCATACACAGTCCAGCTCAGACTGGGCAAAGGAGCTGGCAGCTGTTGGCAGGCACAGGATTGTATCGGTTGGGAATGGGGTTGGGAAAACTGTCGCCAAGCCTGGTTCCTGGCCCTTGCTGGGTTCCCATTGCCATCCCCACCACCCTACTTGTACAGCATGGGCAGTGATTGCAAAGCTCAGGGACCAGAAATTGGGCTCAGAGAGGCTGTCTCCAAGCCTGGTTCCTGCCCTGCTAGCTTCCTACTGCTGCTTACTCGTCCAGCTAGAGGCAGAAAGATATCTCACAGAGGCATTGGGAGCAGCATGGAGGAGCAGCTCCTTGCTGTTCTCCATCTGCTCCCCAAACCTCATGCATCCTGGTGTTGGGAAGAAGCAAGGGAGAGGGGCTGGTTGCAGGCTGAATGCCTGTACTACTCTCATGGACTCATTTCTAACAGTACAAATTGCCCACTGCTAGAAATGAACTCTTGTACAAGGCCTTTGTGCGTACTCACACCTCATTAAGACTTGTTACCTTGTTATTCAGTGTATCAGCAGATGCTGTTAGTCAATCAAGCTACTTACCCCGACGTCCCTCCTGTACAGCAGTGCATGTGTAATGTCTGTGGTAGCAGATTAGCTGAAAAAAAGACAAGCGCGTAGCTTCAATGCTTACAGGATTAGTCAACCTCTGTAGATGTTAGGGAATTTCTGGGCTGCCATATTCACATACTCTATGTGACTTAAATCGTACTACAGTATAAACAGTAATCTGTATGGTTACTAATAGTGGGATTTGGCACAAAGCAATATGATATTCTGTATAAAAAATAATTTCTCATTGCAGTAGAATCCTAGATAGTTTTCCCTATGTTTGTCCACTTCTAATTCAGCTGAATATTATGCAGTGGAAATATAATTTTCACAGTATCTTTATATCTACTGAAATCTTCTTTTCTTTTTCTCTGGCACCCATGAATCTGTGTAAATGTCACTATTAAATTAGTTTTTCTGGCCCACTGTTGGAATATGTATCTTTCTCTTGTAAGTGTACACTGTCTTACACGTACACTCACTCTTCCAAGTTGTTTTATTGGTAGGGACCTACCCAATTCAAGGAAGGCGGCCAATATCAAAGGAAGATTGCGGGGCTGACTTCCATTTTTGAGGGCTTGTTGCAGCAAGCCTCCCCAAAATGTCTGGCTGAGGGGCCTCCCGGTGGCCCTGCCCCCCGCCCCCCCCACTGTTGGTGGAGAAGATTATCCTTCATACTGCTCTGTCCCTCGCTGCTGATTGCCTGAGAGGGTTGTCTGTCATGCAGCCCTGCCGCTCATTGCTAATTGGTGGAGAGGGGTAGAGCTGCATGACAAGCAGCCTTAGTCAATCAGTGCCCAGGGGCAGAGTGGCAGCCATCTTGTCTGCCCCCTTCATGCCAG